CATCTTACAGCAAAACCCAGACACAACGCAGTTCTGTGTTGAAGAAAGCATCGCAACGGACATTCCCCGCAAAGTTTAAAACGCCACCCTCGCTAGCCGTCATCTGCCGTAATCGTCCTGATGATGGAGGCAGCAAGAACCTCTTAAACGTCGGTAAAGTTCTATCAGACAAAGTATAACGAATTATTCTCGGGCTACCAGCCGTGCCAGGTCGTTTAACGGAGTATCCTGAGGACAAAGACGAAGGTGGTCTCGAAACGTCGGTGTTTTTCTCCGTTAAACCACATTCCATGCCGTTCGTTTCTGAACCTTCGCCATCTTTTCTCCCCTTAATCAACTTTGTACTTTGTATCCTTTCTTTCCTTATTTCGCCCTAGTAATTACCGTAAGATCTGAATTTTTAAATATTATTTCCATGAGATTCTGCTTAAAATGGTTCAGTAACCTAACCTAAGATTACTGTTTTATAAATCTCAACTCTGTCTTTCAATTACGTCAGTACTACTTAAAATGCTTAAACCTTTGCCAATAACCTTGACAGAGATCTGCATTAATCAAGATTCCAATGTTAAGAGGTCAACCTCAAAGCATACTGTGGTCTGAAACGCGCCACCTACACGTGACCCTGCGATTAACTGCAGATTCGTGTCCAGGGAGACCCCCCCCCCCCCCCGGATTAGAAGATCCTGCAGTTCAGATAACCGTCCAGATGGAAAAGACGCTTCACGGAGAACCTTTACTCCGGGTCAATGATGAGACACTCTAAATTCGTAACCAGGATGTGAAAACGTTTTCTTTGGTCAGGTGAAGGAAGACTGAGTATGGAGAAGCGATGGAACAACGAGAGACAAGGAAAACGGAAAATAAAAAGCTGATGGTCGCTCAGCTGGCCAAGATATTACAGCCACTTACGGAACCATACGTTCATCACAGTGTTCACGCAACACCGAAACCTTCTGTGCCTTCCCGCGTCACTGTCTCAGTTCCAACACCGAACACAAAGTTTAATAACAACATCGACATTGTTATTGTCGGCAAACACCAAATATTCCACCCGAAAGCCTTCGATTCGTTGACAGACACAAGCAGATTTGATTCTCCCTTTACAGAGGAAGGGGTTATAAGTAATTAGGTTCCTGACGATGAGGTCGTGACCAGACATCATCGCCCTGATGATGGAGGCAGCAACGACTTCTGAAACGTCGGTAAACTTCTACCATACCTCACGGCGCAATAGCCCAGGAGACACCCATCTTCGGACTCACCGTCTTGAAAACATCAAATCCTATTTCTTCATCTCGTTTCTTAAGTTACCTTCCGCCAGACATCTCTGCCGACATATTGGTCAGTATTCTGACCGCTCCCACATTTGAATCTCAAATAAAGTGATAAAACAAAATTGCTATCTTTTTACTACGAACTAGGGCTTGCTACGTCATCTCATTTAACCGAGGAATTAAAATGGTTGCACCTAACGGGCCTCTCGACACTCCTAATTTCTCCTGTGGACAGAGACAGCCAGCCACGTCATCTCTCTCGTTCAGGTTATGGGCAATGCCTTCACAAAGCGAATCCGTGATCACACAATTATTATTATTTATTTAGTGTTCTGTCTGAGGACAGATCCATATGAACAGGATCCTTCCATCCTTTTCTCGGACTGGGACCTGTTCATATACGTTCTTGGCAGATGATCCAGAAGTGGTTTGCCATTGCCTTCTTCTGTGTGTGAATGGAGTAATTGTTGGGATGCCACGGAGGAAAACTCCGTGTTGCCTAGACCACAGAACGAACGACGGTAGAAGGATGCTGTTTCTTTAATAACCGTCCTGTACCCAAAGTTCACAGCAATATACTGTGGTGTGCAATCGGTGATCAGTAACCTGCTACCGATCTGACAAAATCTAATTAGCACACCTAAAAATATAACTATTTTACAGTTAACTACTGTTTCCGATTTTGGCGCCAAAGGTTCCCAGGCAATGTCAGTCTTTATATCGAAAATTGGTCGTAGAAATATTAAAATATTGAAAAGTGTTCAGTTTAGAGACAACAGATCCTTCAAATTATTATTTTCACTAATCATCATCATATCATCAAATGCATTAAGACCCAAATCGGGTAACGTCCTCCGCTATTTCCTTCGGTTTTCTAAAAATGTTTATTTTACAGGGAAAGGTTGTAAGTCAGCCTATCGCAAAACCCCCAACCTGGACGACCACTACCCTTTATTTATATCCCCCAGACACTGGGTAGCTCAATATGTGAGCCCCTTAGGGGATCATAATTAATAATGTATAAAATAGTTTGAGCAATAAGCAAATTTAAGTAACATTAAAAAAAAAAGATGAGTCCGTACCGCAAGGAAAACACCTCTCTTCACCATCGCAAAGATGAATTGGTTTCGCTGCTTATTCGGAGAACAACGTGAAACCCAAAAAATTCCATTGTATGGGCAGAATGCAGAGTTATTGAATATCAATATCATTGAATGGTACATACAAGTTAAATCTTAACGTTTAAAGGGTTAATGCAAATACCTTGCGAACTCTCCACTTTAGTTTAACATTCGATCTGGAGTATCAGCAACTTGAAACATACCTGATCCAGCAATGTCATCCAGATATGGGGATTTCTCGGTATCCGTTCCAGCGATTCTGAAACAGATGCCTGGTGATGTTCTCCCAACAAAATCCTTTTGTATTCTTCCTCCACGAATATATCACGATACTGTCTCAAATCGGCTTATGATAAGAAATATTCTAATCGTCAAGAATTCTCAGTTGATTATCACTATAAAATAATTTAGTTCGTAACCACAGAAATATTCCTGCACGTAAGTATTTTCTAATGCACTTCACAGGTGTGATTTATGCAGGAGACTGGTTACAGTCACGCGATCGCAGGCTCCAACATGAGCTTTGTTTATGTCCGCCTTCCGACCAAGGACTGCTTTACAATTTCTTGCACTCTACAACACTCTACAAGAACGATCAGTTGCACAAGAACAAGTCGCCTTGGCGCACATAGTAGTGAATTTTCCAGCATTATCTCTTTATATCCTGTCTTGTTGAAGACAAAGACGGGGACCTGTTCCCGCACTCACGTGGCATCGCAGACAGATGGAAATATTACTTTAGTTAAGTTACTCAACGTTCACGTGGCTGATCAACTTAGAGATCCTGAAGTACGCACAGCAGAGACCTTCATCCCGGAACCGAGTCTTAATGATTCTTGAAATTGTCATCGCGAAATTAAAACGTTATAAATCTCCTACCATCGACTCAATTGAAGAGCAACTAATCCATGCAGGTGGTAGGACACGGCACTCAGAGATAAAGAAGGTTACGATCTTGATTTGGAACCAGGAAGTATAACCTCTACAGTGGAAAGAACCCTGACCATAAAACAGCAAACAAAACTTCCGAGGTTTCTCTCTTTTGTCAGCGTCATATAACATTTTATCGAATATTCTTCTGCCACGGTTAGAGCCATTTATGAATTAAACTATCAGAGGCCGATCAATGTGGATTCCGCCGTAATAATGATCAGATATTTTGCATTCGACAAATATTAGAGAAAAAATGGGAGTATAATAGGTCAGTACACCAACTATTTGTGGACTTCAGGAAGGCGTATGACTCAGTTAGAAGAGAGGAAATGTATGACATTTTCATTGAGTCCGGAAAACCAAAGAAACTTGTTAGGTTAATTAAGATGTTTATGGACGGGGTATCTATTAGAGTTCATTCCCATTGCACAATGACCTCAAACAGGGGGGATGCTTTAATCCCAATGATTTTTAATTTTTCTCTAGAATACGTCATCAGGAAGGAGATAACCGAAGGTTCATCACCGAATTAACCGAAGCTCTCCACCAGACCCTGTCCTGGGCGAACAAAATCCAGTCTCCTTCAACTCCTATCTCCCACAGATCCCGCCTGAGATTATCCTCCCATCTACGTCTAGGTCTCCCCAGCGGTCTCTTCCCTTCAGGTTTCCCAACCAATACCCGGTGCACACGTCTTGCCCCCTACATACGCGCTACATGCCCTGCCCATCTCATTCTTCTCGACTTAATCACCCTGACAATACTGGGGGAGGAGTACAGATTTTTAAGCTCGTCGTTATGCAGTTTTCTCCATGCCCCATCGTCTTCTCTCCTAGGTCCAAATATCCTCCTCAAACACCTGCGATCTGTGTTCCTCCCTCTGAGTGAGAGATCATGTTTCGCACCCATACAAAACAACAGGCAAAATTATTGTTTTGTATACTTTAATTTTCAGGTTCTTAGAAATCAGACGGGAAGACAAAATATTTTGAACTGAAAAGTAGCAAAACTGAATAATGTCATGATCATTTCTTTCAACGTGGAGCCGTGATTATACCACGAAGATCTTAACAATCTTTGTAGCAAATACTACACAATTTTGTAAACTTAATTAATTACCACATGAATATCCCTCCGCGACATTAATTCAAGTTTCACAAGCCGCCATGTCATTGTTCTTTCTCTATGATAATTTATCGAAACAGAAGTTCCACGCCTTTCTACTAGACAAAATGACGGTACTTTGCCAACAACTGTGGCTTCAAACGCAAAAATTCGCACAGATGTCATGTTCCTGTTACTCACAGTGTGTAATTTGCATTTACAAATATGACGCAAATCTATATTCATGGTAATCAAAAAATTATTAATTAAAACCTTCAGTTGATTCAAAAGTTATTATGACCTGTGGTCGGACTGAAGGACATCTTGACATCATGACATCATACGTAAAAAAGTTCAAAGGTCTAAAATGTAATCGCCTTGAAGCTAGTGATATCACATTTCTAAAGTCATACATCATACAGAGTCTGCGATAACTGACGACGAAAATAAGATTTTCTTCTCTCACCAATGGAATCGATCCAGATACAGACACACTACAGCAGTGAGCCTTCCTCGGTACACAATCCTACTCAACCCCGATGAAGAACCAAATGGTCCATCAACCCAACCACGTCTGTCTGTATCTAAAACCTCTGCCTGGATTTTGACGAAATTTCATACTAAAAGCGTGAAGTGTCTTGGTAAAAATCAAACGAAAAATAAAGGAAATTTTAACAGGAAGACTTGCACGCATTCCCGGGCGGGCACATCTCGAACGTAACTCGCGATCGGAAAGTTTCAAGACTGTGTCAATAGAGGGCGAACCGGATGTAGTAGCTCCGTGTGACTTCTTCCTCTTCCCAAAGATGAAAATTCAGCTAAAGGGAATGAGATTTGAGACGATAGAAGAGAATCAGGCAGAATCGCAGATGGTGCTTGACAGGTTGACAAAGAAAGATTTCCAGGGATGCTTCCAGGCTTGGCAGCGGCGCTGGGATCGTTGTGTTCACTCCCAGGGGAACTACTTCGAGGGTGATGGATGAATTTAATACCTGAGATAAGTGTACGGGTTTTTTTATAGGCGCAGTCTTGAAACTTTCCGATCGCACCTCGTATACAACATTTCATTCATCGAATGTGTAGATACGTCTTTTTGCAACACGTGTTCTTATCGGAGCGAAAATCTTTAGAGAGTAAAATGAAACATACTTTGGGCTAATGCACTACTCCTACAAGCTTAGATAAATACTTCGATCACAGATGTCCTCCAATCCGTCGTTGAAAGCGAAGACATGAGCGAGTGTCGTTAAATAAGATAAGAACACAATCTGTTTACAGACCCTGTCACAGAACAATAGCGAACAAACCTTTGTCCCCCAATGCAAATAATGTATACTTCACAATGGAATTGCATTCTCTAACTTAACCTAATGGCTCTTAAGGTCGTATATAAAAGGAAATATTGAAACGAAGTTTCTCCTCAAATAACGTGTCCATCGTCACAAAGTTACAACAGACTTAAGTGTAACTGACGATAAATACACGAAGCGATGCCTGTGAGTGTCAGACGTCCCCCAGTGGTCGATCGCCCGATCGACAGAACCTTCTAAAGCCCGGTGGTTAACTGTACGTACCACGTTTTAATACTCAGCAATTCCGCATGATTCTCAGAATAAAGAGCGATTATTTCCCTCAGTATCATTATCGAAATAATCGTTGTAAGAGAGAAGTGCTGTGTTCCATTTCGTCGGTGCAACCAACCAAACCCCCCATAAACCCCATAAACACGCGCGGTCAGGTGCCATCCGATTTGGCGTCAGTTTAAATAACGTTCGGAGCACCTCGGACCACACAAGCAACTATTACTCCCAAACTCTGACAACGCGCTTCGACTGGTTTTATTACACGCGGTAGGATTCCTTAAACAAAGAAAAATACAAGTTTCAAGGCCTCTCATGGTCACAG